CTTTTTCCTTCCCACAGACTTCCCACTGAGGTGCCTTGATACAGCACTCTGGGAACAGTCTATTGGTTCAGAAATGTCTTTCTGTGTCTTACCCTCTTGCTTGAGGGTGTCAGTGATGGCCTTCTGGACAGCAGTCAGGTCAGCAGTCTGACCCATGATTGTGGATTTGAGTAATGAACCAAGCTGGGAGTTTTTAAAAGCCTCAGGAATCTTTTGCAGGTGTTTAGAGTTAATTTGTTGATTCAGATGATTAGGTAATAAGTCATTTAGAGAAACTTTTCATGATAATTTTTTTAGATAGGGATTTTTGGTTTTTCTATACTTTTTTGCCAAAATCATCAATATTAAAACAATAAAAGGCTTGAACTACTTCAGTTGGTGTGCAATGAATCTAAAATAAATGAAAGTTTAATATTTATCAGTACATTACAGAAAACAATGAACTTTATCACAATATGCTAATTTTTTTAGAAGGGCCTGTATATGTTGTTTAATGTTTTATTGTTATGTGCATATCACATCATTTCATGATTTAAATGTGGGCTTTAAACAACAATGTCTCATTTAACTCCTCTTATTCCAGCAGTTGAAGGTGGAAGGACTCTTTATTCTTAATTGTGATTTTTACATGTGATTTTTGCTGTCAAAAACATGTCATGCCAGACCACCGAGGCACAAAGATCATCCAACCACTTGTTCCTGCAAGTGGCGATACCCTCCTTGAGCTGTTCCAAGTCTGTCATGCATCCACATGACTTCAGCCTGTGAACGTGTAAAGTCCACTCTTCAGCTCCTCCTGCCATGGTCAAGACTGCACACGAACGAGGGTCACGTCTCCAAATCCATGCTTACTCATTGTGATTTGATGTCAAAATCATTTAACATTTGTTCTAGGTTATTACCAGATAAGCCTGTTACTCAACAGTACTTTTAGTTTGCTTTATAATTTTGTGTAAACATTTTAATTCTGATTTATTTATTTTTTTAGTTATCCAGCTTAAGAGTTTCACTCCTCTTCATCCACAGTAATCTAAAACATAAACAATAATTTTAGACCATACAATAATTCACAGCTTGCTCTTACCATAAATTAATGGAGCCATGCTCTTGATTTATTCATTGGTTTGTAAACATTCTTTTGTAATAAAAACCACATATAAATACTTATTTGTTGTGTGTGTGTGTTTCACTGCCATGAACTACGATATACATAAATCTGAACTGAGGCCAATGATGTTTAAGTCTCTGCACAATACAGGTCATAATTAGGAACAGTGGGTTTATGTGAGATAATATTACTGATCCAAGGCTTTTAGAAAATATTCCTATAATTTGTTATTCAGTGTTTTTTGAACACCATTTTCATATCTCTTTTAGTGTGTCAAAAGTAAAGACATGCACACCAAAAGTTTGATAATTAAGGTGTATATTTTTGCTAAAGGAAAGTGTGGGAAATAATGACAAACTTTTTCATGTTTTTAAGGTTTCTCAAAACCAGACAGGAGGAGGCAGTGAGATGCTGCACTATGGGAGGGTTTTGTTGCCTCTGTAAGGACACTGCTCTGTAGCCAATGCTTCAGGTGTGAGGACCTTCACGGTACAGGACCGATGATGGTGTTCAAACAGTCTTCAAAGGGTTTGTGTACAATTGGCCGACAAGAATTCAAGCTTAGTGTTGTAGTACTTGAAACCGGTCTTGGTCTTAAGACCAGTCTCAAGACCACTTTTTGATGGTCTTGGTCTTGTCTCAGTCTCGGACATTGAGGACTCGGAATTTTATTTCAAGACCAGTCAAGACCACAACTGTGGAAATATCATTAAATAGCCAGATTATTGTACAATTTATTAGTTGACATTCTTGCTTTCATTGGATTTAAAACATACTGATTCAAATCCAAACCTGACTCATTTCTATTCACCAGCTGTCACCCATCCCCACTCTCTTTACTCACATGCATGCACTCCAGGAAAGTAAGCAGTGGTTCTCTGGGAGCAATAAAAGATGTCTTTAAAATTTCAAGTATAAAAGTTTGGCTACATTATTCATAAATAATACTGTAAAACAACAACAACCAGTAGAAAGCATACAGCAACTTGTAAATTCGGCAGTACTTCGCTTTCAGAGACGATGGGACAACTTTAAACTTTAATTGTCACTAACGTTAACAATCTGCCTCTGTAACAAAAGTCTTTCCTCTGCCCTCACACAAAGATTTTGTCAATATTAGCTCAACATAGTCAGCTACAGTGTGGAAAAAAGTATTTAGTCAGCCACTAATTGTTCAAGTTCTCCCACTTAAAAAGATGCGAGGCCTGTAAATGACATTAGATCTCAACTATGAGACAAAATGAGAAAACATGTCTAGAAAATCACATTGTCTGATTTTTTTAAAGAATTTATTTGCAAATTATGGTGGAAAATAAATATTTGGTCAATAACAAAAGTTAATCTCGGTACTTTGTTAAATATCCTTTGTTGGCAATGACAGAAATCAAATGTTTTCTCTAAGTCTTCACAAGGTTGGCACACACTGTTTCTGGTATGTTGGTCCATTCCTCCTCTAGAGCAGTGATGTTTTGGGACTGTCGCTGGACAACACAAACTTTCAACTCCCTCCAAAGGTTTTCTATGGGGTTGAGATCTGGAGATTGGCTATGCCAGTCCAGGACCTTGAAATGTTTCTTACGAAGCCACTCCTTCATTGCCCTGGTGGTGTGCTTGGGATCATTGTCATGCTGAAAGACCCAGCCATGCTTCATCTTCAGTGATTACTGATGGAAGGAGGTTTGCTCTCAAAATCTCACGATACCATTCATTCTTTCATGTACATGGATCAGTCGTCCTGATCCCTTCACAAAGAAACAGTGCCAAAACATGATGCTGCCACCCCCATGCTTCACAGTAGGTATGATGATCTTTAGAAACAACTCAGCATTCATTCTCCTCTAAACACGACGAGTTGTGTTTCTACCAAACAGTTCTACTTTGGTTTCATCTGATCATATGACATTCTCCCAATCCTCTTCTGAAACATCCAGAAGATGCAAACTAGCAAACATCAGATGGGCCTGGATATGTACTGGCTTAAGCAGAGGGACACATCTGGCACTGCAGGATCTGAGTCCCTGGTGGTGTAGTATGTTACTGACAGTAGTCTTTGTTACATTAGTCCCAGTCTCCTGGTGGTGTAGTGTGTTACTGACAGTAGTCTTTGTTACATTAGTCCCAGCCTTCTGCAGGTCATTCACTAGGTCTCCCCTTGTGGTTCTGGGATTTTTCCTCACCGTTCTTGTGATCATTTTGACCCCACGGGCTGAGATCTTGCGTGGAGCCCAGATCGAGGGAGATTAGTAGTGGTCTTGTATGTCTTCCATTTTCTAATCATTCCTCCCACAGTTGATTTCTTTACACCAAGCTGCTTGCCTACTGCAAATTCAGTCTTCCTGGTGCAGGTCTACAGTTTGTTTCTGGTGTCCTTACACTGCTCTTTGGAGTGTGACTGTTTGATGTTGTGAAGGTGTCTTTTATACTGATAAGTTCAAACAGGTGCCATTACTACAGGTAATGAGTGGAGGACAGAGCCTCTTAAAAAGAAGTTACAGATCTGAGAGAGACAGCTGGCTTGTTTGTTATTGAACAAATTCTTATTTTCCACCATAATTTTCAAATAAATTCTTTAAAAAATCATGTGGTTTTCTAGATATGCTTTCTCATTTTGTCTCTCATAGTTGAGGTCTAACTATGATGTCAACTACAGGCCTCTCTCATATTTTTAAGTGGGAGAACTTGCACAATTGGCTGACTAAATACCCTAATAATGTATGTTTAATCTGAAAAGAGCTTCACTGAGTGACAACTAATGTTAGGAGCGCAGAAGACAGTTTAAGTTTCACTTTCAGTTTTTCACCCAAGAGCCTGCAGGAGTGGTCATGGGCGGGGTATGTGGAGAGGGGGGTGGGGGGGGGGTACTCTGCCATGAGGAAGTTCGGCTTAAAGACATGTCCCAGGGGCGTTTCTGGTTCCAAAAGGCATTTCTAGTCCCCATCCGTCATTTTGCTTCTCAGCTTGGCTGCCTAAAAACGCTGCAGGATTTCTCAAACATGCATGAATGAGTCAAAGCAAGGCTTTGGGCATGTTTTTTTTATGAGAGTGTAACGTTATAACATGATATAAACCTCAAAAAAGTTGATTTTACATTATATTGCCCCTTTAACTGCGATCTTCTCCTCTTTAGACATTTGCACTTGTTTCCGCCTGGATTGGTTTTAGTGGTCTGGAGGTAGACCCCAAGGATGTTGTTTTTAATGTTATTGGGCTATAGACAACCATTATGAACATACCACTGCCTGCTTGTCCCATGGTGATATACACTAAACTGGAAGAAGCCACATTAAGGGAGAGGAAACTGCAGGTGGACAAGTCTAATGCCTTGGCAAGAGAAAGGAGGGCCAAGAAATACTGTAAAATATATGTACTACGAGAGGATCAGACACAAGTATTTATGATATCATTATTAAAACAAATCAGTCGTGTTACATGTACTGGTACTCAGATTTGTTTGGTGGTTGTTGGTTTATTGAAAGTAGGCAGACATTGTCTTTACATCCTTTTGAAAGGAATAGTTGTAACGTTTCCAGTAACAAGGTCACAGTTCAATTCTAGTGCCTTTCTTGTTAGTCCTGGTTCAGACTTGGTTTAGTCTTGGTTTTAAATCTGATAAAATGACATCCATGAAAAAAATGTTCTGGGTTAGTTCTGATTAAGGCTCATTTTAGTCAAAATAATTTTACCTAAAGCCAAATTGGGTTGGGTCAAAGTTCAAATTGTTATTTTTAAGTTCTGTGTGGGTGTGTATGGTTTTATTTTTCAAGAAAGCCTCTTGAATTTTTTCCAATCTTAATAAATATGTTATGTTCATTGTGAGTAATCATTAGGGGTGTCCCGATCCGATATCAATATCGGATATCGGTCCGATATCAGCCAAAAAACGAGTATCGGATTTTATCGGACTGCATAAAAAATGTCCGATAT